TCTGGCAGCACTCCATGGCCACCTACAGCTGGTGAAGTATTTCATTGAAAAGAGGTTCATTGAGAGTGAGTGCAGGAACAGATATAAGAACACTCCTCTCCACAGAGCAGCAAGGGAAGGACAATTAGAAATTATAAAGTACTTAATAGAAGAGCAGCATTGTGATCGAATGTGCACATGCAATTGGGGCAGAACTCCTTTGCACATTGCTTGTAGACATACACACCTCGAGGTTGTCAAGTATTTGACGGACCTCAATGGTGTTGATGTCAATGCCAAAGATAAAAGGTATGGATCCACCCCACTTGATTTAGCAGCTGCATATGGATCTGTAGGACTTGTAAGATACATGATTGAAGACAAGAACTGCTATGATCCAGCAAACTACAAAGGCTCTAATACACCACTGCATTTTGCTGCATACCGAGGAAACCTGCATGTAGTTGAATACCTAGTTGCAAACCGAGGCTTTGATGTGAACGCAAAAGGTACCAACAACGGTACTCCACTTAATTCTGCATGCCGTGCTGGACATCTCGAGGTGGTCAAGTATTTGATGGATACAAAACTGATAATAGATGATTATGGAGAAGGCAAAACTCCTCTTGAAATAGCTGTTGAACATGGAACTTTGGAAGTAGTTCAGCATTTGATTGATGAGAGACATTGCCATTTTAAATTTACAAGCAAAGAGGGATTCACACTTCTTCACCGTGCTGCTCGTTGTGGAAAAATGGATATTGTAAAATATCTAATTGAAACCAAAGGTTTTAAACCAGACTGTAAGGGGTTAAAAAGCAGGACTCCACTTCATTCAGCATGTCTAGGTGGTCAATACGATGTGGTGGATTACCTGATATACAAATTAAATGTTAAACCATTGTCACCGGATGATGATGGTAGCACTCCACTCCATTCAGCTGAAAAGTGGTAAAAAGTCGGTTGTTGAATTGATAATCACTGAATTTGACAGTGAACTTGAAGTTATTGACAGACACGGAAGAGATGCAGCAACAATTGCCATGGAAAAGAGCTATACAGCAGAAATATCGAGATATCTATACAATGTTAATAAACTTCGCCAGAGTAAGTATTCCTACAATGTTTTGCATTTAATATCGTTTACTGTTTTGTTTTACCCTGCAGATCAATTGCGCAATTCTCTGAAAATGAGTTTGAAAATCACAAAAGTCATACCTACAGGAGAAGTAATAGCCAGTGGAAATATAATTGAGTTGAAAATCCTTACTAGTGGGGAAAGAGTGGCTGGTAAAGTATTTGAAATAGACCAAGCAGACACCACTCAATTATTGATGAATAAACTTGAGTCAATTAAACAAAATGCTAATATCCTTATGAATATTTCCAATGAAAATATTGTTGGGATCAAAGGAGTGAGTTTCTTACCCGACAGAATTCTACCTGTACTTCTAATGGAAAGAATGATCTCGAATCTGGATTCATACATCAAAAATCATCCATCTTCCAGTTTATCGCAAAGGATTGAAATATTACGTTATATAGCCAGGGGGTTACACTATCTTCACAGCCTGAACCCTCCATTTATTCATGGACACCTCACTACAGATAATGTGTTGCTCGATTTAGGGTTGAAGGCAAAGATTGGTGGCTTTGCCATTGCATCCACCTCCCGGCGACCCATAAAAACACAGTATATGCCCCCTGAAGCTCAGGGAGGTATTGAACTATCAAACCCTAGTGTGGACATTTTCTCACTTGGACATTTAGCTCTTTGCACCGTAGTGCGAGAAGAAGTAGGACGACTCCTTCCTTCTCAGTACAATGAAGCTGGCAAGCCAATTGTTCTGTATGAAGTCGATAGATGGGCTTCTTCTATGAAAAATGCAGAGGAAATACTGTCTGAACAGAAATCTGTATTTCAAGGTATCAAAGAATGCCTCTCTAATGATCCAAGTAAACGACCATCTGCTAAAAAATTACTAAATATGCTTGAAGCAGGTGAGTTATCAAACAGTATAATGTCAATTATGTAATTGATTGCCATGCACATTGCCATGCACTATGAAAAGGTGGTTATTCACATTCCTCAATTGAGCCATAACTATGCAAACCACATTCATCTTTCACGTGTGAATTTGTAGCCATAGGTTATTTTGGCACATATATTGTATGAGAGCATGATAAGTGACAGGGAAATTGATTTTTATAACAGATGGCAGTAAAGGAGAATCAAAGGATAAGGACATCATGGAAGGCACAAGTATGTTACTGTATAATTTTGTGATAGTTACCTGTATTTAACCTTTGTGCATGTGCTGAACAATTACATGCAGCATGAATTGTAGCATAAGAACCATACACTGTAATAACGTGTGTGTCACTATTATTTAGGTGAAAACGACAGAAGGCTCTATGGGGATGCAATGACACAAGGCTACGTCGAGTCGGCTTTTGCTCTCCTGATTCTTTTAGGTGTGACAGGATCTGGCAAAAGCCTCTTCCAACGTCTTGTGTTAGGTTTACCAGTTCCCGAGTTTAGTCCCTCCACCCCCTTCGCCGAATCAACTATCCGCTCAATGTCTATCAGCAGAGTGGCAGTAAATGAGAAAGGTTTTAAATGGGTTATTATTGGTCCTCAAAATATGATAGAACTGGTTGCAAAGGAAATAAAAACTGGTCTCAAACCTCAAAACACAACCAAGTCTGTAAGTGACAAGGATGAGTTTCGAAAACAGTTCGTAAGTGAACAAAATGATTCAAATGGAGCAGGAAAAATGGAAAGGGAAAATAATCCAGCCCCGCTAAAGCAAAAGTGTGAAGTACCTACAGATCCAAACAAACAAAGTAAAGTTTTGCAACAAGAGAGTGAAGTACCTGAGACAACACATAATGCTCCCAGCAAACGCTTTTCAGAAAATTTCCTTGATGCTTTGAAGGGAATTAAAATAGACTCTGATCTTATGACTAACTCATCAAAAGATGTGCCTCAGAAGTTGATGGATATTAATTTCACGTACCTATTAGACAGTGGTGGGCAGCCGCCATTCAGAGAGATGCTCCCACACCTTGTCCAGCAGTCTTCAGCAATGGTTTTAATGCAAAAACTCAATGAGAGGTTGGACTTTAGGCCTACCATCAGGTACCGAGAAAAAGAGGGCGAAGTGAGTGAAGGATACACATCCGAACTGACAAATGAGCAGATGCTCTACCAGTATGTCCAGGCAGCTCAGTCACAAAAGTCGAAAGTCTTTGTAATAGGCACTCACAGGGACATGGAGGGTGAATGTAAAGATGAAACCAGAGAAAAGAAAAATGAAAAACTATTTGAAGCTTTTCGACCAGTTATAGGCAAACAAATGGAGCTGTACAAGGTGGGAAACCCTGATCAGCTGATGTTTCCTGTGGACAGCACAAGTCGTGGTCCAGATGATGAGGCAACAGCTGAAGAATTCAGGAAGAAAGTGACAACTAGTTGCATGGGACAGAAGGTAAAGATCCCACTGCCATGGTTTGTGCTGGAGCAATTGCTGCAATTGCTTGCAGAGAAGATGCAGGTCAGAGTATTGAGTATTGATGAATGTTATGAGGCTGCTAAACTTAAACTCCTTATGCCTTATACTGCCTGTGAAGCTGCTTTAACATATCTTGGAAAATTAAATCTAATACTCTACCTTCCAAATATCCTTCCTGGGGTTGTATTCCCTGATGCTCAGGTAATTCTGGACAAGATTACAGAGCTTGTGCGATGTAACCATGCTCTAAGAACTTATGATAGTTGCACTGATGCAATACCATCTTGTATGCAAAGCAATGAGAAGCTTGAACTCAGAGATTTTGGACAAGTAAGTTCTAATCTTCTGAACAAAGCCTTTTGTTCGCACTACAGAGACCATCTTTTCACCTCTTCAGATTTCTTGAAGCTTCTAGAAGGTTTGATGATCGCTGGTAAGCTTGAAAATGGAGAGTATTTCATCCCCAGCCTCCATCCCAACCTGCCAGATGATAATATTGCAAATTATCGTGTGACATCAGTGAAAAACCCTGCACCACTAGTAATCTATTACCCCAAGATGTGGGTGCCAGTTGGAATAATGCCTACACTTACAGTGTACCTTCGAAACACATGCAAGTGGGTTCTTGCTGGGGGAAAGCCAGCCTGCCTGTACCACAACTGCATCCAGTTCAAGTTAGTAGATGGCAAGCCTGGTAGTACGGTTCTCATTGATTCAACCAAGTTTCTGGAGGTCCATGTCTCAACATCACTTGAAGTAGATCCGAAACTGTGCACTAAAATAGGACAAGACATCATGGCTGGCCTTAAGGAGGCTCATAAGTCCCTCCACTATGACTCAGCTGAGGCTATGATGGGATTTCTCTGCTCGGGTGAGTGTGGCAATAAAGAAGCCCATCTCGCAACATTGGATCCAGAGAGAGAAGCATGGCTATGTTCCGAAAATGGAAATAAAGGAAACTACCTGAACGAGAGACAGAAGTATTGGGATGGAGCGTTGAAGATAACTGCTAAAGGTATATAAGTATTCTTCAAATCAGGATTGTATGATTAGGTCGGGGTGTCAGTGTGCTCAAATCTGTTCGTTAACCATGCTTCATGTTTTCCAGTCTCTATGTTGTCTCCTTTTCTTTTTATACCATCCCTATATGCCTCTTTTTTCAATTCGCAGGATTTTTTACTTGTCAAAGTTTAGCCATGAATGGTTATTACACCCCTTTAAAAAAACTTTGCTTTGTGCAGGTGCAGCTGAACCACACGAGCAAAAGCAGGCACCAAGGAAGCAGGACACTACAAGTTCAAGTATGCATATTGGCTAGTTGTGTATAATTAACCCTCGGCGTGCATGCACAGCGAGGGTTACAGTAGTTGGTCTGTGTGTGTGTGTGTGTGTGTGTGTCTGTCCACGACTATTCTCGCACTACAGGTGGCGTAAGAGCGATACCAAACATTTCAGTGCTACGCGAGCCTAAAAAATAAAACGGCGATTTTCCTGAAACGACTGCGTTCGAGAGATATGCCGTGAAAACAAGCGAAAAAGCCAATATGCATAATCGGCGCACTGGGCACCGCGACCTGATCTGCTCGCTCTGTGTATATAGGCTCAGGAAGTCACAACGGTATCGACTCCCGCATGCTATCTACTACTGTAGCTAGCCCTTGTCAGACTCTCCGCGAGCTACTAGTGGGAGACCACGAGTAAATGCATACAGCCCAGCCCGCATCAATTAGCTGTATCGTGCATGTTGTTCGCCGAGGGTTTGCACTTTAGCTAGTGCTTTTCATTATCATAATTTGTTTCAGGTGAAAACCCAACAATGCCAAAACTGGTCAAGATGAAAGTTCCTTCGCGAGTTGGACCAAAAATAAAACATTTTGGGATAATTCTGCTTCAAGATGATGGTGGTAACAAGGTGTCCAACATCGCACGTAAGTGTCAGGAAAACCCAGAGGAAATGGCAATGGAGGTTCTGATGGAGTGGCTGGCAGGGAAGGGGATAGAGGTGTCGTGGAAGAGCCTCATAGCAACTCTAAGACACTGTGAACTACTACAAGTGGCTAAAGACTTACAGATGGCACTGGACAAACAACAATCTTGATGTGCTGCTAGTGTTATATATTACTCAGACACTGCTTTATAATTATTATACGAATGATAATACTTGCGCTGATATGTTCCACGTGGCGACTATGAAAACCCGGGGAGACGGGCACAGATATAGGCTGTTTCGTTTCCAGGTCTCCGTTCATAACTGCTACAAACTGTAAAAATATTGCTGTAAGGTGTTGGAAAGGAGAATGTTGCATGTTAACAGTAAAGGATTAAGCAACTAGTTGACTGGTGGAGCCGACCGTCCGGCAAGAGTGCTGCCTCTGCAAGTAGAAAGAACGTTGGTACGTTGACCAACAAGCCTGACAAGTCACCAAGCAATGACACGCTGACTGCTGTGAATGCCTGCGGCACTGTGAATGTCTGTGGTGGTAGAGGAGCTGTCGCCACCGCTGCTGCCATGGCCTCTGGAACGAGTCTCCCGTGTGCAAGTTTCACGTCTGTTCGACTGCACTCGCGACAGACTGACAAGTGGTCGTCGTTTGCTAAGCTGTGGCCGGTCGCTGCATGCAGACCCGCCCATTTTTACTACGCACGCGCATATCTCATGCAGAGCTAGCTAGCTAGCTAGAGATGTCACCATCTGTAGCTTACTAAGGTTGCTCATGGTATGGCCAGTAATATTGTTCACACAGCTAATCCTGCTTTTCAGAATCACAATAATGTAACTACTCTTGTGTCATTGTCTAAATGGAGTGCAGGTTTATTGTCTATTTCGTCGGTTTATGAGTTTCGACTATAAAAAATTTGAATGTCGAGCCATACTTGTGACCAATCGACACACACAGAGAGAGAGAGAGATAGAGACATACAGTTACACACACACAGTATAAACATGTCAGGAGCCAATCTGGCAGTGGGGCAGTGCTCCCAGGAGGGCAGCCAGGGCAGTGTCTCTGTCCCTGATCCCTGGAGTGTCTCTCAGTCCCAGGTACTGGAGTCTGGACAGACCATAGAGACACGGGAGACCAGAGCTGCTGATGGAGGGACAACCACTCAGCTCCAGCTCCAGGAGGGAGCCCCTGACGTTAGCCAGGTGAACGAGGCCTTCGTCACTAAGATACTTGCAGTTGGTAAAGTCCAGATGATACACTCCCTCGAGACCAACTGGGGTTGGGAGGAGAAGAACTTCATAATCAAAGAACAATGCTACCTTTCAATGTGGGGTCAAAATTATAGCTCAAGGTGTCTCCAACATATTTGTGCCCACTACACGTTACCGGAGTAGCATAGCAGGAGATAGCATGCAACTTCAAACTTGGAGTGGGACCTCCGTGTTAGGGTAAGGGGTCTGAGGGCATGCTCTCTAAAGTCAATGCTCTGACAGTGATTTTGGGTAACTAAGCGCCAGAGTACATAGCTAACCTGAGAAGCTGCAGAAGAGATGTTAAATGCTTGGGAGAAATCCTAGAATACATCTACAAGGACTAAAGTGGTGTTAATGTTCTTGGCTGTTCTTGCCAGTGCTGGACACATTTCACTCTAAACTGCACCAACTAACCTTTGACCCTTTGACACATTATCACCTACCAAGGTGCTCCAGGCCATTGTTAGTGATGGTTATTCCGGAGGCATTGATAGCCTCCAGTCTTGTGGTCTCCCTGGGCTCTGCCGGCATGCGGTTGTAGTCTGTCGTCCACGACTCAAATGAACCAAACTTGACCGAGCCACCGAGTCGAAGAATCCACTCTGCCGCTGCCCGGTCTGGTCCCACATCTGCCACACGACTATGGTCTACTCTGCACCATCATACAATAGATTCTGTCCCGTTTGTATATGTCAAATTACTCCTCACCTGTTGAACACGAAGTTCAACCACATCCAGAACGTCCTCTGGGGAACAAATACCCTCCTTCCCTTTACTCTACTCCCACTACTAACAGGCATACAGCTCCGGAGCGACGATCCCAGCATCTCCAAACCCGCCGCCACGCCCAGCTCCCGCGCCGCGCGCGCTCTCTCGCTCTTTCACACCCGCCCCCCCCGGCCCCATGCACGCACGCACATGCGCAAAGTTTTATGTTGCCATGGTGATTCCTCGCGCGCGCCGCTGTTAGAACGCGGTAGTTTCGCGGGAAAGACGAATTCTCAGCTTTTCTGTCTCTTTGCTGTTCGCTATCATCTCCTTGCTTACCACTGTGAGAGAGAAAAACTTGCTGCCAATGACTTTCGGAGCTGTTTTCACGGCCTTGGCCGCTGTGTTAGGCAGCTTAGGGCCACGGCCGTCCAACCGAAGCCGCGGACGCGGCGGGCGAATCTGGAAGAGGCCGCGCAACTGCAATCCATCTCGGCCAAAGAGACGAGGCAGGCCGGCAGATCAAGTGCCTACCGTAACGCCGGCGGTTGTCCCGTCCACCAGTCCTGAGAGATCGCAAAATGCTGAAGTCTCTGACGCCTGCCGACCGGATTCGCCAAGCACTGACTCTCCCAGCACAGACGACCAAAACTCAACCCTCGAAACTTTCGAAGGCTACTCTACTCAGACCATTCCGGACGAGCAGAGCAACGTGAATGAACAGGTAGACCAGATCTCTGACAAGATCTCCCAAGACGCCCGTTCGGCCAGTGAGACGTCCGCTCCCGGATTCAGCAGTGACTTTGCTGCACCTGACCGTAGCGATATCGACAAGTCCGACGGGTCTGCAGACGGCGGTGCCGAGAACCAGTGTTCTGTGACATACTTCCCGGTTATTGGTAACTCGTCGGGCTGCACCAAGAAGAAGCCTCGCATTGCAGTGGAAGTGTCGGAGAAGCTTACCGTTGGTGGTGGAAATGAGAACACAGGTGACCAACCTGCACTCAAACCCGCTACAGTTCCTGTGGACTTGTCTGCTGAGACCTGCCAGAATAACACTGACAATGAGCTGGAGGTGGATGGATTTGCTTGCGACGAGAGTGCAATCGATACGAACGAAATGGCAAATGTGGACGATTCTGATGAGTCCAAGGAGAAGAAGAAGAGGATGCACGGTGAAGTCTACGATAGAGCTGAGAAGCACGGAGTTGCACTGGAGGACATGAGGCGGAGTGATGATGGGAGCGTTCTTGTGGGAACTATCATTGTACGAAACAATAACTTTGAGAAGGTGGTTGGAGCCCGCCACTCACTCACAGGGTGGGCCACCTACACCGACACCATTGGACAGTGGATGGAGACATTGGAGGGGGAGGAGTTTGACCGATTTCAGTTCAGCGTGAATCTCCCCGATAAGGGCAGCTACTACATGGAGATTGCTTTTTTCTACGACTACGTCTACTGGGATAACAATGACAGGCAAAATCATGTTGTGTACTGCAAAATGCTTTGGGAAGACTCTGCTGAGTGAATTGCGTTTTTCAGCTGTGGACGTATTTGACTGCAACAGTCTTTACATGTAGCTTCATTCATATACTTTTTTCAAGGATAAGATGCATAGCATCGTTGTAAATGTTTATTAAATTTTTAGGTTTGGCTCAAGCGCATAGCTACTGACTGCGCAATCCAAAAAATGATGACTTTCATGATGGAGTACCATGGTACACAGGTACTTACCCGGTTGATTCATTTTACAGATCACAGGAAATCACAATGAATTCCCAATAACAGGAGCATCATTGAACCAACCATCTTAGTGGCCAACAACAGAGTTCATGAGCAGGTTTGCCTTCAGAAGAGTCTTGAGCGCTCGCACAAGCCTTGGAGGTAACTAAGCCCTATCTCAAGATTTAATTCACGATTTTATGCACATTCATTTACTAGCACTAGAGTCTTGCCGTGGGAGCAGATATCCCGGTAACAGACACACAGACAAACAGACAACCAACCAACTACTGTATGTCTCCGTTGCACATGCGCACAAATGTATAATGAGTTCACTTATACACTACACAATTTTTGACCCTAATATGCACACTTGCTGCATAGACACTATGGAACATTGTACTCACACTTTCAGTTTGATAAGGGTGTAGTCAAACAACGGAAACTGAGATTAAAAATGGCTACTGCAAACGGACTCTCTCCACGCCAACTCTCCCTGCCTGGAGGTAGGACCCTCCCTCCCTCCATCCCGCTCATCATCTCCAGTCAGGACAACTGGAACCCCCTCTCCTGCCAACTGGAGACTCACAAACAAGACCCAAACAACCACAGCCTCAAGCTAGTGGACGATGCAGTAGAACTACTTCGCAGCATGGACAAGCCACTGGCTGTCCTCTCCATCTGTGGGCCCTACCGCTCAGGCAAGTCTTACTTCATCTCTCGCGTGCTAGGCAACCCTGGAGCCTTCAAGCTGGGCCACAGCATGCAAGCCTGCACTAGAGGTATCTGGATGGCCACCACTGTCCTAGAGTGCCAAGATTTTGCCATGGTCTTCCTGGATACGGAGGGTATCGATGCCGTGGGAGCCTCTGAGACCATGGCAATGAGCTTGCTCATCCTCACCACACTCCTCAGCTCCTTCCTCATCTACAACTCCAAGAAGGTGCCTCAGAAGGTGGACCTCGACAAGATGAGGTGTTTCTCCCAACTCTCCACCTCTCTCCTTGCTCAATGTGGGGAGTCAATGTCGATGGATGTGAAGAAAGCGTTCTTCACTCGATTTCTGTGGCTGCTGCGAGACGTGAGTCTCAAGATGACGGACAGGGAAGGTAAGGAGCTTGGGCCAACCGAGTTTCTACACACCAGGGTCCTTGCATCTGAATCAGGAGAGCTAACAGACTTGGGTAAGTCTCTAGTCAGTCTTTTCCCTTCTCTGGAGTGTTCAACTCTCCCTCAGCCCTCGATCGATCCCAAAGTCCTGCGTGACATTTGCAATCATCAAGAGAAGTGAGTGGAAAGTTCAGCGATAAAATCATGTTGTAGATCCAGCAAATCCTCCAGAAAGTAGTCCAAAGAAGGCGTGAGATGGAACTACTACAGTGAATGGGAAGGCTCTGGCCGCTCTAGCTGGGGGCTACGTGGAGGCAGTCAACAGGCCAGGAGCTCTACCAGGCCTGGACCAGGGCTGGCAGGCTGTGGTGAGGCTGGAGCTGAAGGAAGTCTCCTACAAGCTGGCGAGGGAGTACGAGAGGGAAATGGAGGAGGCTCTGGAAGGAAACCTGCCAATGGAAGGGAGAAATCTCCTGAGAATCCACCAACAGACACTGAAGAGAAAGAAGAGTGTTCTAAGAGAGGAAATATGCCGTGTTAACCCTCTCCACTCTAGTGATAAAGAAATCCAGCCACTCCAGGACCAGTTGGAACAGGATATCGTGACATGGAGTGAGTCAAGCAATGGTGGAGAGAAGAAAGTGACTGGAGGTGCTCTTTATCTGTTCACCACTTTGAACTTCACAAAATCAAAGGAACATTGCGAAAGGTTACTGACAGATCTTGTAAAAAGGCTAAAAATCCACAATAAGGTTGAAAAAGCCGCAAAGAAATCTTTACCCATTGATATCCAAAAAGAAGTGAGTGAAATGACTGAAGAATACCACACCAAAGCAGTAGGACCAGCTGCTAGTGAAGTGTTGGAGAGAGGCCTGTCAGAACTGAGTCAGCTCTCAGACATACTCAAGAAGATTCCTGGCAAGCCACAGAGTGTTAGAGTAGTTGGAAAAGCACGTAATAGAGTCAAGCTGACCTGGGCTCCACCGGCACGCAACCAAGAGGCAGTTGATGAATATGTGGTGTACAAGAAAGCTGAAGATGGAGCATGGGAGGAGGCTGGGAGAACAAATAAAATGAGTTTTGTAGTTAAGGATTTAAAATCTGAAACCCCGTACAAGTTTCGTGTAACTACCACTAATAGTGAGATAGAGAGCCTTGTAAATGGTACGGCAACAATGACCAATACATCAGTAGTTGCTGGAGCTGGTGGCTGTCTTTCTTCTGCCCGCACTGATAGGAGGAGCCATAGCTGACACCCCCACGCCCATATATGCTGTGATAGTGGAGGCAGGTCTACTTCTCTCTCCTGTTCTTGTTCCCGTGGGAGCCATAGTTGCAGCAGTTGCTGTTCCCATGGGGGCTGCTGTGGGAGCCATAGTTGGAGCAGTGGCTACAGCCGTATCGAAAACGGGCGATGTATCTGAAGAGTGACTTTACGCTATCTTGTGTGTGATCGTGTAACTTGGCAATAACTTTGTGTTTTGTAGTTATACTACTTGAAGTTAATACTAATGCTCAACTGTAAAATGCAGTAACAAGTTGAAAAATCGTTTCTCTGAAATAAAGTGAATGTAGGGATGGCACATAATGAAAAACGAGGGAAGCAAGAGGGGAAGCAAGGTCAATAATCATCTCCCCATCTTTGTCCACTATTTTGTACAGGGACAAAGATGTAGGGATGGTGTTATTATGGCTCTTGCTTAACCTAGCTATTATATGTACCCTGTTTGGTGCATGGAAATAGAAAAGTGTGTACCCAAATGAGAACTGGGTATATACCCAAATAAAAAAAGTGTGTACCAAAATGTACGTATTGCGACGGCCGTTGGTGTGCGTAATTTTGACACTAACCTCCCCCCATCATAACCCACAGTTTGGGCAAATCTCTAGTCAGTTTTTTCCCCTCTGTGGAGTGTGCCACTCTCCCCATACCCTCCACCAAGAGAGACATCATCCGTGGCAACAGCAAGACAAGCTCAAACCAGCCTTCACAATGATGCAGTCGATGCTCAGATCCACCATAATTATCCTCCAGAAAGTATCTCCAAAGAAGGCAGTGGATGGGACTACCACCGTCACCGGAAAGGCTCTGCATGCTCTAGCTGGAGGCAACGTGGAGGCAGTCAACAGGCCAGGAGCTCTACCAGACCTGGACCAGGGCTGGCAGGCTGTATATAGTGAGGTTGGAGCTGAAAGCTGAAGGAAGTCTCCTACAAGCTGGTGAGGGAGTACGAGAGGGAAATGGAGGAGGCGTTGGAAGGAGACCTGCCAATGGAAGAGAGAAATCTCCTGAGAATCCACCAACAGACACCGAAGAAAAAGAAGCGTGTCCTGAGAGAGAAAATCTGGCGTGTTAACCCTCTCCACTCCAGCGATGAAGAAGCACGCAATCGAGAGGCTGTTGAGGAGTATATATGTGGTGTACAAGAAAGCTAAAGAGGGAGGGAGCTGGAAAGAGGTTGCAAGGACTGACAAAGACAAGGGTTCTGGTGAAGGGACTAAAATCCTCGACGTCTTACGAGTTTCAAGTCGAAGCTACAGTAACAAATTCTGCAGTGAGTTCGACATCACAAAACCTCTTTCTCATCTATAGTAACATCTGCCATTAGTCTTGGCGTTGGTGCCACCGCATCACTGACACTCATGTTGCCTTCAGCTATAGGGAGGGCTCAAGAAGAATATATTCAACGTCACCGAGATATTGACTACGTCTTTTCAGCCAGTTAAAATACGGTTTACTTGGACTGAGTATTGCCACTCTACTTGTTAGCATCGTTCTGGCTCCAGTCACTGCGCCTGTTATTGGACTTACTACAGCAGCAAATCTGAAGGCAGAACTCTAAGAGGGTGACCTCACAGATGATTGGCTCTCTTATTATAATGTTTGCTATAATTATCAGTATGAATCAAAGATTAATATAATGTGGTTAATGCTGGAAGTTTTTAATAATGTAATCTGATTAGTCTGTGCGTGGACATCTCTTAATCTAGAGGGGCTACAGGTATATATAGTTTAAATTGCACCAAGAAAAATCTTGAAATCAGAGTGAAGGATGATTTGTTATTGTTTCTTACAATAACAAGTGCACAAGCAGAATCCAATACTCCGTGTTGACATTGAACTGAAACTGAAAATTAACTGACAGTGAACTGTGTGTGTTTTGTGGATGCCGGCAACTTAAAAAGCTTGTACACGCTCTGGCTTAGCACAGTATACCTTTCAACTGAGAAGTATTGTCTTTGAAGAGTGCAATTTAGCAACTGTCTAGCTGTCATGAGCCACAGTCTGTGCCCAAACAAGACCAACTGCTCCATGACAGAGAGAGAGGTAAGCAAACAGTATCTGAACTAATAGCTACACTGCCAAGTGCCAGTAGTGTGTTTGGAACCTCATCACATGCTCCATAATCCATTTTCCAGGAAGGAGAAATGAATATTGTGGTGATGCTGAGGCTCATAATGGCCAGCATGAGGTATCTAAGTATGCCTTGTGTCAGATATTAACCAAAAAGTGTGATTTGTGCAGTTTTCTGGGAGCTATGTCAATTATAGCATCAGCCATTTACAGAAAGACTGTCTGCAGCCCTAAGGTAAGGTCATGGCAGCATGAGGGGAAAGAAATGAATTCAATGTGAAGGGCAACTTTGGTAAAATGTTACAAATATCCTGGAGGAGCATGTCATGAGCCACAGTAGTTACTTCCTGATCTCTTGACACCATTGTACTATTATCTGACCAGCGGAGACCAAAAGTGATGAAGGCATTGGCCATGGGCTATTCCTGCCCCATGCTACTCTACCTCATTATAGGTACAACCAATTTTTATTCTCTCTATTGTGGATGCTCTGTTGAGTGTCCTATGGATGAGCGGTTCAGTGGTGTGGCTGAAGAGAGGAGCTAACACCCAGAATGGCTCTAGTCTTGGATGCTTTGCCATCAATCTGCTGACTGTAGTAAGTGGAACCCCTGGCTCCAAGGCACCTCCCACTTTATAGGAAATACAACAACACGAGGGAGTGAGGTGCCCTTAGCCATAATACATAGTTTACCCTCCCTCAGAGTAGACACTCATTCACTTTCTGCATGGATTCCAAACAGTTACAGTTATCGATCTAACCTCAGATTCTGCAATGTACGGCAATGAATATGACGCTGATATATGCCCTCCTGGCATACTCCAGTATTAAACACAGAAGTGTTTATGTGAGTTGAAACACAACATGTCACGGGGAGGGATGGAGTGTGCATGAGAAATATTTTGTTGCATAGCTACACATTCTCTCCCTCCCATGACACCACCACACTTCTAAACCACAGATGGTGCAACAAACACCAGTTTCTGTCCACGTGTGGCATCCCTTTCGTACATTGCTCTCCTACCTGACTGCCTGGTATGTATGTATAGCTATACCTGTAACATAGCAATATTTCTTATGTATAGTGTGCGAAATGCTCAACATCACTTTGTGAGTGGTGACCGCTCACAAAAATAACTGATACAAGAGTGTATCATGTCCTTTACAGGAGCCTGCCTGTCGCACTGGTTCTTTCTCCGTTTTCAGTATTATCAGTGAAGTATGGACTGATCCAGAAGGCCACCGACTGTGCCTGCTGGTAGTTATACCTCAGTCCATACTCCTAACCAAGCACCGATGAACTTTTTCACAGGTGTTTACCGTTTTATGGAAATGGTTTGCCACGACTACAGTTGGGTTCTGTAAACAGTGTGGTTAGTTGCTACTATTTCCCATGGTTGCTCTACCACAACACTTACACCTGTCCTTTTAGTCTTGTATATACTTTCACTTCACACTGCAGGGGGAAGAGGACTACAAGCTACTCCTACACCATTTCATATCTTCCTACTCTGTAGTCCTGATTGCCAACTTTGCAATCGTCCTGTGTTCCCTGGCAGCAGTCTATATTCGAGTTTTCCTTCGCATTAGACAAATAAAGATGATGCAAGGCAAGCGTGAGCTATGAGTAATAACACCACTCAATAGTGTCAATATGTCCAGCACAAGCTGAGGGTGTGCCTCTCCGAGGAGCCAATCAGGCCATGATTGTTGCTGGACAAAAAGATGCTCAGACACGAGTCACCCTATTCCTCTCCATATACTTTCTGTCGGGAATCATCAGTAAGTAGTAATAATATTCCGATCGCGGTGTCTTTTTAAAAAGTCTCCTTGCAGCGTTTGCCTTTGGAGTTGCCAACCTAGCTACACAAAGAGAACAGACACAGCATCACCATCATAATCATCAGCATACAGCAAGAACCTTGGAAAAGTATTACACTTTTCTTCTCTTCGAGGTATACTGTAGAAAGTAATAGTGCTCAATCTGATGTTTCTCAGGCTGTGCTAGTTCCCATACAAGGTTTCCTGAATGCTTTGGTCTACGGCTGGACCCGAAGCGACTTTGTCAGCGTCATGACATCAAAAAAGATCAGCTCCCCAGCCCCAATGTCCCTCTCTCTCCCCTATGGCACCATGGAGAGACAGATCAAGGACATGGACGAGGATAATGTTGAAGAGCTCCATGAGGGACCGTCGAGAGACGATGATTCAATGTCTCCAGTGTCCCTAGGTTCCTTTCTAGGAGAGGATCATCAATAATTGCTAATTGCAAAAACCTACATCGCGCGTTCAGGTGTGCGCAAACGGTTCAATCTGCGAATGCGCAGTGTTTCTTCGGCGCGGATCGGACACACCCCTCAACCCAATTAGAGCTCACCGTTGCAGAGGGGAGATCGAGATAGATGGAGCTGTCGTCAGACGTCCAGCGAGGCCTGCAGGCAGCCGGATCCGGGGTCCTAACTGAACAAGTTTTTGAGAAACTAGTTCGTCAGGCTGTTATCGACAGCATCAGTCCTGGAGATACCAGCGATTTGACGAGTGAGAGTCCAAAAGCCTTAGTTCACTCATCATTTTCTGTCCCTCACCGCCTGGGTTCCCGAGAAGGCGTCACCGAGGTAGACCAAGCCGTCCTGAAGGAGGCGCATGCGTCACTCATGACCCTAGCTCTAGAAGCAGCCAGAACTGACTCTGACAGTGCCATTGTCAGGTAATGATCCAGCCTTTACACAGACGACTGTATAGATGGGTATACATGAAATGATTTTCTTGCAGTACTGCTCTAGAAGAGTGCAAATTTGCTCCAGAAAGGATAAAAGTGTTCACTGCCACATATGCTGTAAGTGGTCTGGCAAATTGTTTACAAAAAGGCTCCATTCACTTTTCATTCCGTATAAGGAGAATAAAGCAAAGATAAGAGCATCGTTGGGAAGGTTAGTGTTCACCCCTTTGATGTGGTGTTGGTGGGAATTGGTAACGTGTTGTGTCCAGGGTTGGGAGTACCGTTCCACATGTGGTGGATGTCAACTGGAGACTCGACTACTACATCAAGGTTACAAACTTAGTCTAAATGTAATCCTGAAAGGGTAGATTCGTTCACTCATTGTATATACTAGCATGTTATACCAACACAGTATTGTGTGTAAAGGCTATTAGGAGCTGGACATCTCTCTTCTCTTCAGAGCAATCACCTTGACAGAGTGAACAAGCCAGTCTACCTCATTGAACTTAGAACAGAGGTATATATTTGTGGTATTTTATAGCCTTGGAGCCCCAGTTATTTTACATTGAGGTACAATATTTGGGCACCCTTTGTACACCACGTAATATCCATGCTAAATAGGAATTGTCTGGGTACAGAGCTCCAGGTTAGGTTGCTCTCTGTTCTTTCTGTTATAGCAAGGGGAAGAACAGGGCAAGGTTCAGTTCTCCTGCACACAAGAGGAACTGCAGGTAGTACACATACACAAACCAGTGCCCACAAACTTGATTGATGTTGTTCTCTCCTCTGTCTGATTCACATAGGACTTGGTGTCAAAGTTAAAAGACGCGTCCAAGAGTTTAGAGAAATTTAGCCAAAAGCACTGATCACTTTTTCTTATGTGTGTGGACAATAGATTCTGTTTTACATTTCGTGCTATATATATATAATAAGAGAGTCAATCAGTCTGTTATACAGGTGATAGATTTTTATAACTATGGTTTTGTTTGAATCAGAACAGCCGAAGGAACCAAACCTACATAAAAATTGGTTGCTATAAAGACATGACAGGCACGCGACTGTAATAATTATATACCTAATTCTTTCAGGGTCTTCCTCATGTCGGCAGGTGAGAAGATCTTCTTGGGGAAGTTGGTCATGAGGAGGAAGGGTTGGTTGGGTCCGTCCTGGTTCAGGAGGATGTGCTGGTTCACATCCACCAGTGTGTCTGATGGCCTGAAGGTGTGAGTCATCGCACCCCCACCCATCAACCGAATCTGAATATTGTAGAGTGCGGGTTTTGATATAATATGCACAACACAAAGTACAACGTTTGGAATGAAAGCAAGGCGAGTGCAAAGGTTCGACAACCACCAAGGCCAACGGCAAAAAGGTTTCAAGATCATCCTTTTCTTGTGGTTCAAAAGTTAGAACTATAATATATCTAGGCACATTCATTGACACAACCCAGCACATAGTGAGCTCTGAAACTCGCACACTTTGGTACGTTATTTTTAGCCTGCCAATGACAAAATTATTAAGTGTGTGTGTTTTCCTGTTTTATTGGTATAACTGTTGAACTAATCTGAACTATACATACCTGTAGTCTGCAACTGTCATACTCCTTCTTGGCCTGAGGAGCTGTGGTGAGTGGCTGGGAGGCTGCAGCTGTTGCTCCAGCCTCAGCCTTGGCCTTCTTCTCCCTGGCTGTCCTCTCTGCTCTGTCCTTCGCTATCTCCTCCTTCACCTTCTGTCTGTGGCACAGTGGCAGTCAACAACAACAACATCTTTACACTAATACTAGCTATACACATACAGAGTGTAGTCCACACCTGGCTAACTTCTCCTCCATTTTCTCTCTTCTCTTCATGTCGGCGATTTTCTTTGCTTCCTGCAGCTCCATTCTGTGGAGAGAAAACAGTGAGCTCAGATTAAATGCAACACATCATTAGTAAGCGACTGGAAAGTGCAAAAATTCAGCAGCTTATGTGTGTGTGTTCACATACAGTATGGTGACAATGTTGTCTTTAAGCATTCTATTCAGACAACTGTAGGTGTCCCTCGCCAATATGGAGGGTAGTATAATATTCTTGGCTTACTGTTGTCTGATCTCAGTTAGCTCCTTCCCACTCTTTCTTCTGACCTTCTCTTTTTCTACCTTCTCCTACACATTTTTCGTCAGTGGACAAAACCCCAAAACATGTACAGAATACGTGTACAGATAAGCATAGTATTATACTCATTTCCCAGTTCAAAGGATTACCTCTTTCTCTTTTTGTTCCCTCTCTGCACGCTTGTGCTTTATTTTGTCTTCTAACCTGGGTGCAGGTAGAAAGGTAGTGCTAAACCACATTATTTTCTACATTGGTGCATCATACATTGTAATGTACAGTGGGACACTTTCGAGGTGGAAACGAAGCAAAGAGTGATTCAGTGGGACCATAGTTTCCGTGAAGTTTGTGTTTGGTAACAAAATGTTCCTCCCTCTGCTAAAAACCTTTCTATTCTTGTTCTATCTTCCTTCTTATTCTTTTCTCTTTATACCAGTACAATATACCCTAGTTAGTTACATCACATTTCTAACCTGGCGAGCTGTGCCTTCTTCTCCTCCTCAGTGAGGGGTCTGATGGCCTCAGTGGACTCTGAGAAGTTGGCATGTCCTGTTCGTGACGCATGAGCCTGTGTGTGGTAACTACTCATGTCACACTTGACATAATATTCGCTAGGTGAAACATGCGTCTGAGATTAATACTTAACAAAAAGACTCACAAACACATACAGTAGTGGTAGTAGCGTGCATACCTGAGCATCAAGTTCACTTTTTAGAAACTTCCCACAGCTGTAAACAAACAAAATCCTCCGTTATTATCCCGCGGACACATGTGCAGCAGGGGTCAGTCTTGGTGACCGGCCAAAGTTAGAGGATGACTCATGACTACAAACTAGGAGAGAAGGACTTTCTTCGAATTTATAGATTTCTGCAACCAACAATTACCCAGGAACACTCGTGTATGCCATGAATCCAGGTTACTAATTGAAACTGAAATAAAGTCTGACATTTCCTCTGGCTACTCTGAGTACTCGGTGAGATGCCTTGTCTATGCACAGCTGGATATGTGCACTAGCACGTAACATGTGCATTCGCACAGGGTATTTATGCGTTCCTTTGAGCTCTATAGTTGATATTTATCCCCATGGACGTACTCGTCACATTTGAGAGACTGTGGCTGGGATGGGGGAGGTTCCTCGGACTCGGCAGTGCTCTCTCCACCCGTGGAGCTCTCTCCTGTAGCTGTGAGAGAGATAAAGTAACCGTGTTTGACACTGAACTGATCCTAATGCATTCGGACAACATATATTCTTGAATATACATTTATTATATGTACTGGGTATGTATGTATATACCTTGACCCAAGGTGTGTCCCTGAGGAGGCGTGAAGGGATCATCAATATCAGGGTCGTCCTGATGAGCCAGCAGCCTGTTGGAGATAGACAGAAGTGACACATTCAGAACCACTTGTTCAGTAGGAAAGAGACTGTGTAAGACTGCAGTGTCCTCGAGTATTTTTGGCAAAGTATTATACATACATCACTGTAAGCAAGGCGGCAACCAAAACCTGGCGAACAAGTATGTTTGACCATCCTATTTGCCAATGTCACACTCCCCGTGAGGATTGATCAGTTTCCAGCATCAAGTTCATCAAATGGACCACCTGTTAATCACACGTTATGGGTATGGCCTCCCTCAATAAGATGGTTGGTCCATCTTTTTGCTTCCCCAGTTTTTTCAACAATCACTATTGAGGATATTTTGCACTGCACACTTAAACTATTGTAAAAGTCTTTAATGTGGTTCTTTGGCCTGTTCTTCCTCCCATTCATTGCTGGCAAAAAAGTAAAAAGTACAAAACTAAGGCCACCCTATTTTACTCAGTAGCTCCTAAACCATTATTCACACTGCACTCTGCAGTCATAGTTAAGGTATTCAGTACAGTTTTTTTTAATCCTGCCCTTCCCCCACTCTGCTTGCTGAAGTACGAGAAACTAAACTTTATTCTCCACATTCACTTCTCTGCAACTCAACACAGAAAACCATGCATGATACATGCTCACCAGTCCATAGCTGCTTCAGCTCCCCGGTTCCCTGTCTTGGCTAGAGCTTTCTCTCTGTTGCAGAAGATCGGTAACATGCAAGAGATATAGTCTTAGTCTTACGCTCTGTTCTTTGGGAAACCCATGTCCACCAGGGAATCCAATGCTGAAGACATGATGATGAATTCAAGAAAGAGTTTAGATCGTGCGAAGTAGAGAGAGAGAGCTACTTGATCTCTACAACAGTTAACCTTTTTCAAAATTTCACTACCTTACGGTTAATTAGAAAGTAAAATAGGAGGTGGGGCTGGTACATTCACCCGCCCACGCAGGAGTAGGTCTTGTGAGCGAAAAAGACGATGTGGAGCCCTACCTTTGTCAAGGCTGCGGCTCTTCTGCTGTACATTCTCCTAATCTCTTCTGTGAGCGAGTGTGTATACGCCTCGTCTACTGGCACTGCTCCAGTCCAAGTGGCCATAGCCGCAACTGGTAAGGAAATGCCGTACTGAGTCCGTCTGAACTATTTCAACCACGTTCAGATGATACTGCTCGCATGGTTGTGACCTGGGTCACTTTTGAACGGACAAACACCTCAGAAGTTCATTATGGCCTGTCGGGACAGGGGCTCACTCACAGTGCAGAAGGCTCTGTCACAAAGTTTGTGGACAAGGAGCTGATTGGTAGCAGTATACGCTACATCCCATAGGGTCAACATTACTGGACTCCTTCCCCTCAGCAAGTACGGTAAGTGAAGGAATTTGTTTTGAGGGTTATAAAACTGTGGGAATCGCAGCTGAAGGAAGTGATTCTGCCAAGTGCAAACTCTGTCTCAAAGTTTTTTGAAGCCCCCTGGAATATAGGACTGTTTCGTAGCTTAGGGAAATAACGGACATGAACTGTAGTGAGCTATAAGCTGAAGTTTTGAAGCATATTCTGTTCCTCTTAGCGGTGAATTGATAGGTGGTGATTGCGCCACACATTCTCCCACCAGACTATGTATGTGGTAGTGGAGGAAACTGGAGTATGCAGTACACGCTGCGTACACTGGGAGGTGCAGACTGGAGCCCCACTCTGGCTGTATATGGGGACATGGGGACAGCCAATGCAGTCTCACTACCCTGGCTGGTGGAGGAGGTAGCCTCTGGAGGCTTCGATGCAGTCCTGCATGTTGGTGACTTGGCCTATGACCTGTTTCAGTGTAAGATGGCTATTATCTCATGTGCACATGTTGCTCAAAAGGCTGTGCATGGTCACAGTTATGTAACCCTTATGGAGTTCACATGTGCATGGGATTCATGCCACATGATTGCTTAAAATAGCTAAAGTTGTTGATTGAATTCAAGTAACATCCCCTGAGATCTCACCTACATATTGATTCTGACAGTATGCTTTATATACACACTTACTCGGCATCAATAATTTGCCACTCCAGAAAAAATAGGTTAACACTGCTTGAGAAATTTGCTCAATACAGGCTTGTATGTTCACATGGGACCTGAAGTTCAGGGAAGAGAGTGACCTAGACAAAATTAATACTTATTAATTAATAAGTGAGATGCACTTAGGGTTGGGTCATAATGGAGTTCCTGATTGGCAAAACGCTGAATGGTTAGTGATTCAGAAATTGGTTTCTCCCATTGCAGGAGGGTGGAAAGGTGGGTGATAAGTTCATGGAGCAGGTGGAGCCCATTGCTACACAGGTGCCTTATATGGTGGCTCCAGGGAATCACGAGTGGCTACAGTGAGTGTGTGTAGCTACTCTCTCACCATCACAATGCTCTTTGCTAATAATGTGTATCGTGCACTACATCTTTGTAGTAATTTCACTCATTACAAGAACCGATTCAGCATGCCGGGAAACTCTGAAAACTATCACTACAGGTTAGCATGGGTTTTCATAAAGCACTTACATAATAATTTCTGGATTTGCAGTTGGAATATTGGCCCTGCCCACATAATCAGTTTCTCGACAGAGGTTTACTTCTTTCTGGAAGATGGTCTCAAACTGATAGAGTGGCAGTACCACTGGCTGGAGCAGGAACTACAGGTGTGTGCGTGGTGCTATTGCTAAGTCTGTTAGCTAAAATAGGGGCTGCTGTACACACGTGCTTTTTCCTATAACTATCATGATTGTTGTCTAACTATACACAGAGAGTCAGTGCAGCAGAGTATAGAGGAGAGCGTCCCTGGATCATCGCCATGGGCCACAGACCAATGTATTGCTCCACCAACAATGACAATGACTGTGACCACCACAACAGTGTGGTAGGTGGAGTAATGCAACCATCTTCCTAGTTACGAGCTTTCAGACTATGAGCTATTTTTTCTTGTTTGTTTAAGCATAATAGATTTCCCGATTGGCAAGATGCTGAATGGTTAGTAGATTCAGAAATTACTTTTTCTCAACTACAGGTGCGTGTGGGCCTGCCTCTGGAGTATAAGTATGGTCTAGAAAAGCTCTTCTACCAATATGGTCTGCTTAACTCCCAACTCTGTGACTAGAAACAATATTAATTTGGTCATGTTCAGGTGTGGATCTGGAGCTGTGGGGTCACGAGCATATCTATGAGAGAATGTGGCCACTCTTTAACTACACAGTGAGATCAAGCATTATAGTATCCACCTCTCACGTAATATTTGACGTCAACTTTTCCTCACAGGTGATGAATGGTTCTTATGAAAATCCGTACACAAATCCGGGAGCCCCTGTCCACATTGTTACTGGATCAGCTGTGAGGGCACACACAGATCCAGTATAAAATGGGATGGTCTAATGAATAACTGCTTGCTGTGGTAAAATTATTGCAGGGGTGTAGGGAGGACCACGGTGACTTCAAGAAGGATCAGCCAGAGTGGGTGGCCTTTACCAGCAGGGACTATGGCTACTCCAAGATGACAGTGCACAACGCAACTCATCTCTCATTCCAACAGATCAGTGCTGACCAGGTCAGTGCTGGGTGCCCATCCAGAGGTTACATCTGGCTTGTCCTGTTAATCGTTACTGGTTAGCGGTTTAAGAGATGTATTATAGGCTGACAATGTCTAGCACAGTCACTTCAACGTGAGTATACTGAAAACAGACTCTCAAGTAGTAGTAGCAGTCCGGGTTTGGTAACAAGTTTTCTTTATATTGCCCTCCAGTCTGGAAAGCAGCAGTGCTGTTGTCGTGTTACTTTTTTGCATATAGACTCACTACTTAGAATAGCCAGTTGTAGAAAAACCGAGGTCATGATTGAGGATTTAGATCAATCTTCATACAGGATGTGTAGATACACTGTAAAAAAAATTATACTCACATGAAGACATGACTTATTGCTCAGGGAGGAAAGGTCGTTGATGAATTTACCATCATCAAGGACTACCACGGACCATACCGGGCCATGGACCTTTGAACACACCGCCATGTGTGTGTGTATCTACGTGTGTGTTTGTGCCTTTTCCAAAACAGAATACCAAATATGTATCACATGTGTTATAAAACAGTGGATGCTGGGGGAATTCTCTGAATTATGATTATTATACAAGAACAGTGATTTGTGAATGCATGTCTTTTGGAGTGGATTAAAATTCCATTAACATCGGTTTCTACATAGTCTAAATCGAGTCTGTGTCCTGCTGTTAGTCTGGAGGTCTATAGTGACACGGTCCACTGGTGTTGGGGCTGGTCCTGTCTCAGCAGAGGCACTTTGACTGTCCTTCCGTGTCTTTCTCTGTGTCCATGAATCAGCGGGTGTAAAAACAAGGCAAGTGCAATTCGACAACACATTCTCTTTAAAAAGGTAGAACTTGAACCCACGGCACTCTGTTCTCTAGACAAGCACTCTACCACTAAGCTAGCAGGCTCTCAGCAGGCTGGGCCTAAAATAACACAACTCAAGGCAAAGACAAACCCCAAACTCTCTGCTATAGCACACAAACCCATCACTTAATAGGTACTGTAGATAATTGGTGAGTGTGGAGTTGAGGGGGGGTAGCTATTATAGTGTTAGATAATCAAGCAGAACAGCAAGTGCAGTTACATGTGTAAATGACGAGTAGAGAGATACTTGCATGTCCAGAGACTCACCTTGTCTAGGATTTCCGTAGCCAGAGCAAGAAAAAGCTCCTCCAAGTTCTCCCCAGTCTCAGCGCTTGTCTCAAAGAACAGTATGCCATTCGAAGAGGCCAGCTGCAGTCGGAACAATCATCAACTCACTGAGTCTATCCTATATAACAGGGATCTCTTTGCTAGAGTGGGACATACAGCTCTGCTGTGGGTGTCTGACGACTCAGGGGTTGTTAGCAGGTCTATCTTGTTTCCCACCAGAGCAATCCTCACATCTCTGTTGAGTGTGTTCTGCAAATGGGAGGATTATATGTATGGACCTCATTGTTATACTGAGCATGTTATTGTGCTGGTCCAGCTGTCAGCAGTCACTGCAGTGTGTAGCTAATGGCACAATAGTGCCACTCTATGTTTTGTACGGTACTTGAATAAACACATGGCTGTTGTCATAGCTCCTTATTACCATGCCTGAGGTAAATCAACCAAAACAAACATGTGTGTTGTCAGGTTCAGTTATAGTATTTGTATATAGCTACCTCTCCACAGAACGGGCCAAGAGCAAAGTGGTTGTCATTCTCTTTTACCACAATTGTATTTTACCTCTGTGATATCTGTCAGCCAGTGCTTGACATTGTCAAATGTCTTTCTTTGCGTCACATCATACACCAGGACAATACCCTGAAGCACGGAGGAGCCGCTCTCAGTAAATCAGAAAGAACATACTTCATTTTCCTTCTATAACATGATGACACTAGGTGGTGAGTGTCTAGACCTGAGTTGTAGCTATTGTAAGTCCACATCTACTTACTTACATCAGCTCTTCCATAGTACTTAGCAGGCATGGACCTGAATCTTTCTTGTCCGGCTGTGGTCCTGCAAGTATAAAAAAGACTGGATCATGATTGGAGTGACCACCAAATCGTACCAGGAGGATTTGTTTCATACTTTTGCCGTAATACACTCACCAGATTTGCAACTTTACATCCTTGTCTCCAACTCGAATAGTCTTGCTCTGAACATCAACCCCTGAATAGTAGTCAGTGAAAATGACGAAGCGCTGTGATTGGGTGAGGGGGTTGTTACCGATGGTTGACAGAGTGCTCGCTTTTATCCCTCCTACAGAGATGAACTTCTTAATGAGTCTGTTCTTGCCAACTCCGCCGTCTCCGCAGACTAACACTCTCACCTTCTCTGCTCCGTCCATCGCAGCTATAAAGCTCGGACGCAACGCCCTTTTGGGGGCGGGGCCGCTCAGGTGTGAGAGAGCAGGCACTAGTCTACTGGGCCACCGTAAGAGCTGCACCAAGCTGGTGCCTGTGCCCTTCTCCTCCACCCCGACGATATGCTGAGCAGGGAGCCGTCTCGTCGGCGTATGGCTGATGAGAGGAGAGAACCAGAGCAGCAACAAAGACAAGAGGTTGAAAAGGAAGTCACCGAAATCAGTGAAGAGAAAAGAGGGGAGACACAAAGAAATATTCAGATCCTGAGATCAGAAAAAGCAGGTATATCTAATCCCTGCAGTAACAGTGTTGAGTGAAGACAGCTTTCAATATGCCACAGCTCTAGTGCAGGAGAAAGAAGAATTCCAATGTCAACTTTGCCGACAGGCCACCCGACAAGCTGCACAGGGAGAGACTAGAGCTAGAGATGTAGAGAGAAAACTGTTGGAGGCTAACGGTAGGGCAAGGGTGGCAGAGGAGGAGATAGCCAAGCTACAAGAGTGGCTACAAAAATCTGAGGCTGGCGCGAGGGAGAGGAGAGAAAGGTCAGGTGAAGTCGAGGGGCGTTTGGCAGACATGGTGGAAGCAGTAAGGGAAGAAGAAAGAAGACGGAGACAGGCTGAGGAAAGGGTGGCAGATATGGAGGGAAGGGTAAGGGTATCAACCGAGAGACAGAGAAGAGCAGAAGAGAGGATGACTGAAGCTGAAAACACGCGACGACAAGCAGAGGAGAGACAGGGAGATTTTGAGAGGCGAGTTATTGAGAATGAGCAAATCGTCTATCGCAGAGTGCAACAGGCTGAACAGGCACACCGCGAGGCCCTCCGTCGATGTCAACTAGCAGAAGGTAGGCTGACCGAAGAGACACGGGCGCGAATAGAGTGTGAGCGAATGATGCAACAACTTGAGGTCCAACTGAGGGAGGCAGAGAGAGTGGCCAACAACCTCGAGGCAAGCACAGCGGAGCAGCAAGACCATCTATTCTGGAGGGTGGATAGGAGGGAGATTCATCTGTCCCAGCAGGAACTCGGCAGGGGAGGGTGGGCTGCAGTGAAGGTAGCAGAGTTCCGTGGGCTACAAGTGGCTGCAAAATGCCTCCACTCGGTCATAATCTCGGAGCACAACCGCAGACTGTTCTTGCGAGAGATGAACATGGCGGCAAAGCTCCGCCATCCACACCTGGTGCAGTTCATTGGAGCCACCCTCGAGGGAGAGCCCATCATCCTGACTGAGCTAATGAGCAATAGTCTCAGGGACATCCTCGGGACACGTCATCTTAAAGAGCAACACATCACGACCATTGGCCGCCATGTGGCTCTAGCTCTCAACTACATGCACCAGATGTCTCCAGACCCAGTCCTTCACAGAGACGTGAGCAGTGCAAATGTTCTCCTCAACCCAGGACCAGACGATGGTTGGGTAGCCAAGCTTTCCGACTATGGCTCGGCCAATTTCACTCGACTGGGAAGCACTGCAGGGCCAGGCAACCCATCCTACGCAGCACCAGAGGCCGCAGATCCGGTCAGACAGAGCCCCAAGATGGACGTCTTTAGTTTCGGTGTGCTGTTGATGGAGATGTCTACTGGCCAGTTCCCCAACAGAAACCATCTCCAATCCCAGCTGAGAGGAGTCTCTCTGCCAAGACTTTCTAGGCTTATTCAACAATGCATTGATGACAATCCCACAAGTAGACCAACTATTGCTGTTGTGCTAAATGAACTATGATTTTAGTTTATTGTGTTACTTAAGTTGCAGCAAGTCAGTTTCACCAATGTCTCCCCAATCACGTCCACCTACTTTCTAAAAATAATACACGTTTACACTCCGAGTGGAATTTTATACTTTACAATTACAGTTATATGGTGCCTAAAAACTACATCATTAATCTATCCAACATTTTTTGCACACTTTGGATACTATTATAGCTACTCAGACTGGAGGATCTGCTGGAGGGAGCGAGGGGGGTGGTACTGGGCATCCTCTAGTCCAAATGCCGCTGGTCCCACCACCTCCATGGCCCTAGGAGTCAGCAACAGAGGATTGGCTGGCAAGGCAAGCAGCCCCACCTTCATCCCATAACGTACCAACTCGGACATCATCGGGGAGCCTTTGTGTATGTATGTGTGTGTGATTATTGGAGAGAGGAAAAGGTTGCATTTAATGCCGAAAACCTGTACGTAGGTTTTTGTGACATCAGAAACTTTAGGCCTTGTATGCAGAGGCAAAAACACAAGATTAAATAGTCGTGTGTTTGGATTCTGGCCCCATAAATGCAGGCCTGGATAAAGTACTGAAGTGGAAAACAAATGCATGCAAGCTCGCCGATCCGCTGACCACGACCGGTACTTGCGGGAGTAATGCCTGGCAAGTTGCAGAATGCAACAAAGTTCGTATCTCTCTTATGGTGAATGGGCTTTGTTACAGTTGTAGCTAGTAGGTAAGCTCCCTTTATGAGGTTACCTGTGTTTAGGTTGACCATACAGATGAGATCAGGTGCACAGGCCATAACTGCTCCACCTACACCCTCCTTCATCATATAGCGGACAACGAAAATCTCATTCTTTGCCAGTATCTTGATCTTGTGACCTTTGTAGGTATCCAGACCTTCTACGACTGCCTCAAGCCTCCCAAACCCTTTGTTGGTCACATGTACCACATCTGTCACCTTCAGAGAGAGAAATGTTATTGCTCATAAATGTACATATAAGCATGACACGTATACAGCCGTTCTTTCCCTCTCCTCCCCTACATACACATACTCCCCAATAAACACTACCTTTCTGCCAGGGATTTCTAGAGCAAAAATCGAACCCCTCAATGACTAAAGTTGGTGGGATAATTATGGATTTGGTGGGTGTGTCAGTGAGAGGGAAATAATGTGCCACACCAGTGTTCTAACCTTGCCAACAATGAGTATGGTCCCATTCTGCTGGGCAGCTATGCCCTCTAGGACACTGCTGTTGTTTAGTTTGGCCCGCCTCATAGCCCGACCAAGCTGCCAAGCCATGCTCATTGATAGAACAACAGTCTTGTTCAGGACGTCCTGTAGAGTAAAGACGCCCGCTGAGATGCCGCAGATCATCCTGTGGAACAAATACAAAACGCTACCTCAAGGGTATATACATCTTAAATTAATCACGTTTCATGGCCACCTTTTAGACACCAATTTTAACGAAACACAACTACTGTAACCCTCACTGCGCATGCGCCCCGAGGGTTAATGAACTTTTGTTTCCACAGGGACCAATAAAAAAACGTGAATATCATTGCATTCTTGCCATTTTCCTGCTAGCTCATCAAGACTCACCCCATGCGGATGCACTCCGTTCTGAAAAAATCCTCTGCGTCTTTGGCACTGTCTACGTATGTGCAGGCAATAACCTCTCCCTTGTCGTCAGCTACAGCACTGGGATAAGGCACACTGCCGTAGATGAATGGGCAGTACATCTGGAGCTCAGGAACGGAGCGCCCTACCCCATCAGCATCCATAACTGGAAGACCCAGCTCAGCCCCCAGGGCCAGTGGCACCAGCGAGTTAGCTCCACCAATCTCGAAACTCATAATGTGAGTGATCTGTTGTGACTAGATAGAGCAAAGACATACTTGTAATGTTATATAATAATAAGACGTCTGGTTGCGGGAATGCCATCATGTAGTTACACCGCAATCCAACTCTCCCTCCTTCTCTCGGCCTAGTTTCAATTCCATTTGACCCACCACAAAAGCATGCGAGTGTTGTCATGTGACCAGTAAATGAAATTGATTTGCTAAAGCATCATGTGAGTTATATCACACGTTTGTCCCTGGCTTCGATACTGCAATACTATGTATAAAGGGAGCTAGGACAGTGTTCAACAGCTAACCTCATTGATTTCTGTAGGATCCGAGATATTGACTTCCTGTAAGTCGGCAGGTTCGGCAATCCACACCCTTTTCCCTACTCCAACATTTCTTTCCTTTACTCTCACTCTTTCATTTCCCCTCTTCCCACCTCTCTCCCAGCCAACTCCAGAATCTGTGTCATACATTCCGCTGACCAGCAAACGCTGAAGGGTCTCCAATACTAGTTTATTCTCATTCCCAGACACCATTTTCTCAGAGCCAACTGCAGGAGCACCCATCAAAGCAGCAAATGTTACCAGACCAACATCTGAAGTCTTTAACCTGGAGTCAATATACACAGAAAGGCATTATTATACAGTCCCGGGGTAAAGAAATGGCAAAACTACATAAGAGGTGTAGCTATACACTAGCATCATGCACCTGCATGTATAATATTATATACAAGCATCACATTGTGTAAGCGTGGTGGCTGTTCCTATAACTTACTTACTCGCAACATATGACAAAATGACCAATATTATGTTCACATAATACTGTGTAAAAGACCTGAAAGGATTGACAATAGTGATGCTCTTGCCCTGTGCCAACTGTTGGAGGGCAACCAGATGACCCATGTTGGGGTCTCCTCCTCCTTCGCAGCCCAGGAGACTGGCCCCCAATTCCATACACTCAATGTCTTCTGCACTCAGCAACCACTTTCCACCTGTCACAGGTGGGCATTGTAAAGCACTTTGAGATAATATGGTGGTGAATATAAAAGAGCAGTACGTCAAAAGCTACTCGGCAAACCTGTTACAAATGTTTTGATATCTGATTCACAATCCCCATGATTACATACACCCATACCTTCAGCTTGTGGACTGGGCAACCCAGCAGCTAGGTCTTTCTCTCTGTCCTCCGCAGAAGCAAATGGCCAGTGAGGGTTGTCTTCCACTGTGCTGCCATTTCTCGAGCCAGTCTGCAGAGGACCTACCGCCTTGACTCTGACTCGTACTTTGTGTGCCACGTATGTCACGTCTTCACTGTGAATTTTAACCTCTGAACGAACTGCCCCCTTCCTCACAGCCTCGGATATCGCCTTCTTCCTGGTCTGCTGAAGGAGATTCAGTTTTACCCTCTCTGTCCTATCTTCATCCCCCTCCTCCTTCTCCACAGACTGCATGGCATCCACTGTGGCTCCCACCGCACTAATGGCAGCTCCAATCGCATTGGCTACATTCTGCAATAAAAAACAATGCATTCATATGCACATGGATATTACTTCTTGACCGACATGAACACCAGCAGGGCTTGCAGTACCAACTTGGTCTGTTAAAAGTCACTATTCAGAATTATAAGTATGACCTCTGTCGCAATAGTGTGGATTTGCGAATTAACAGTTAGGAGACCCCATTATCTGAATGAAATGCGACACAATAGTCTTGTATTTGGACTCTGTCTCCACAATTTTATTGAAGATCGATCAGCAAGCTCCATTGCTTTGCCACGTCAGCATTCGGTGAAGATCAAAATGGAGAACCAAGCAATAGGAGACTGATTATTGAGGAAGATTCCAGAAGAGGACTATAGCTATATTATGTGAGCCAACAAACACAATCTTAATCACGGTTGTGGTTCTATGTAGATTCCTTCTTGACAGCAGGTATCAACTACGAGGTAGAAAGGCAAAACATACCATTCTTCTCAAGAAGGGTGACTGGGAGCGACATGCTCGTGAGGTGAACTCACTAGCATTATCACACACCAAACAATATAGAATGCAAACAGCAAACTAGAGTTCTACAAACGATTCTAAAGAGTATGAAGAAATTCCATTATGTGAGTTAGTCACTCGCTGAGTCTAGGAGTGCTTGAACCTATGCAACTACTGCCCAGGAATGATAAAACCAGTAGAGCATGAATCTGGCACAACTACCAATACATATCTTGGCAAGCAAAGGGTTTGTGAATGCTTTGCTTCATGATCATCTTGCAATTTCCTCTACAAACACACGGAATCCATTGAACAATCACAGGCCATCAGGTTCATCATTATAGGAGAGACTCATTGCTACATTATTACTTAAAACTCTGTCGTGTATCTGATGAGTATTAGAGGTTTACCAGGGCAACTAAGCTCAAAGTGCATGGAGCACACTGCCCACAGTTGTGGATAAGAGCGTGCCAGGAATTAAAATAGCTTGAGTAACCCATAGATCTTCAATTTGGCACAACCACTATACACAACTGGGGAAGCAAAGAGTTGGTTTTCCTCTACAAATGTACGGAATCCCATTGAACAATCACTGGCCATTAGGTTCAGCATTATAGGAGAGACTCATTGCTACACATGATGACTCAACTCTCTCGTATAGCTAATGAATTTTAGAAGTTGAGAGAACTGGTACAGCATGTATTTGGCAATAGATATCAGTCCTCGGAACATACAAAAGTGTGCATATTATTTACTGACGGTAGCTATTTGCATAAACGCCAGAAAGGCATGGTATTATTAGTATCATGCAAAAAAGTAGGCATGTGTTATTCATACCATGGTAAGTCACAAAAACAATATTTAACATGCCAGGTCAAACAAACTGAATGCCTGTTTTCTTCTACGATAGTTCCATTGTAGGCATCCTCTAGACGTAAGCTATATATGCAGATCAGAAGGTATAATTATCCGACAGCTATGTTCTCTATAAGAGTGCTCTGCACAGGGCAACTCAGCAGCGCAGGCTCAAATTTTAGAAGAACAGGGAGCAGATAGTTTTACACCACCCAGCCTGAGTAACCCGTAGAGCTTTCAATTTGGCACAACTACACATAACTGGGCAAGCAAGGGTTGGTGAATGCTTTGTTTCATCTTGCAATTTCCTCTACAAACGTACGGAATCCATTCAACAATTACGAACCATTAGGTTCAGCATATAGGAGAGACTCATTGCATTACTTAAAACTCTCTCGTATAGCTAGCTGATGAAATTTAGAAGTTGACAGAACTCGTAGAGCATGAATTTGGCAATATTATCAGTCTACATGACTGAGCAATTTAGCATTGTAAAGAGTATTATAGTGAGTGCTTTGGTACTGAGAGGAATGTCCGTTATTCGGCGTTAAGAGGTACATGCCCACTGTTTGAAGGTTCTTGGGAAAAGTAGTTGGTACACATAGCCATTGTCGGTATATTGTAGCTAGGCGTCCGCCATTCAGAGTGTCTGCTATTAAAAGAGGTTTTACAGTACATAGCTTCAAGCTTCGGGTTTAGAATGAGAAGGTTTAAAATGAAATTGATGGAATAACATTTATTCTTCCCAACCAAGTGGGATGCATCTTCCCACATGCATACAAAATTTAAACCACTTAGGCCAAGATGTGGTGAATGTTTGAGCTTGCCCACCCAAGCTAGTAGCCTCACCCAGTGCTTCTGGGGAATAATGAGAGGGGCTGCTCCCTTTAGACCCGCTGATTGGTCCACCAGACATCTCCCTTCACCTACCAGCACCACTGGTCCATCGACGTCCTCTGTCTGAGGTCGCCACGAGACAAAGACTCAATCATAATAAGACATTGTGGCCAGTATACATACCTTTACACGGTCGATTCCACTCTCAATCATCTCTTGAATGTGCTTCATACCTTTGTACACCAGTGTGGGGTTAAGAGTGTCGAGGGCGGTGGGCGAGACCCGGCAGGTATTGCCAGGGGCTACCCCGGAAGCCAGAGCAATATCAGTAGTTGTGCAGCTGCTCCCACCAGCGCACAGTGCCTCTGATATGTCAACACTTGGCCCCAGTGTCAGCTTGCACTGCGACATACAGGAGGACAAAGTTGCAACTAGCTTTTAGTAGCTATATAGCTGTTTTTTTTTGTTGTAAAAATGTCCTGTATTATTGCGCATGCTCACTCACTGAAGTCCATTAGCACAGTGACCTAGCTAAAATATGTTACTCAAGACTATAGGGGACTACTCACAGAGGCGTTGTCCCAGAGACAAGTGGAACCTCCACCTAGCTGCAGACTGAGGATTTCTGGCATGGAGAGGTTGGTCCTCACCCCACCAACCTGCGATTGTAGGTAATGTGCTTTACCACACAGAAACTCCACGCGTGTATATACTGTAAGCATAACGACCCCATCTCTTTTTGTTTGGGCATCCCTTTTCCTTACTTTACTCTGAGAGGACACTCCGGGAAACCCGTTTTGAATGACACCAATGTTTGTCGAGGTGCTCCCAATGTCACGTACGATGGTGTCCTGGAGACCAGCCAGGAAGGCTGCTCCTCGCATTCTGTTGGTGAAGTCTGAAGAGAAAGTAAATGCTGGGAAGTCAACTGCCTCCTCCGCACTGAGGGGAAAAGGTAGAGCAAGGGGTATAGAGACTACAATGGTTAACTCTTTCATATTGAGTTGTAGTAGCTATTACCTAAGGAGAGTGCAGTCATTCTTGGTGAGATATAAAGGACACTTGAGGCCAAGGGCATCCAACGCTGAGCCAAAGCCCTTGATTGTCTCCCTCGCTAGTGGCCTGAGAGCCTCGTTTAGAATAGCACCATTCTCCCTCTCAAGCAGACGCAGAAGCCCAATCTGAGGGTAAGAGAGAGCGAGACTACCATTGCGCAATAATAATAAGTAATAAAAAGTGTAACACATGTGTATGTGAGTAATAAGGGTTGTTTGAGCAATTTTCAAAATAGGAAGGTTCATCTAGCAGACACCTTGTGAGAAAGAGTGCAGGTTATATCGGGGCACTCCGACATTATTACATCCGCTGCTCGCTGCTCCTGGTTCCCGACGGCTGGACTTTCGTACGGAGAGAACACTCCACACACTACCACGTTCCGAACGGGGGGCTGGCGTTGGGAAATCTCTCTCGCGACCCTCCGCAGCTCACCCTCGTCCAGCTCCGCGATAGACCTAATGTCGCATTCAAACCCGCCCGCTACCATGTAGCTAGATTCCTCCGCAGAGAATATCTCGGAGGTCGGAGGGGAAGTCGCAGAAGGGCGGGAGGGAACGAGACGCGCTCCCGCAGAGGCGTACGACAGCGACCGAGGCCAGAGACGCGTTATCGCGAGTCACAACTGCGTTCATAAAACAGGAGGTTCCGATGCAGACGCGGCTAACGTTCTCCACAATTGTCTCCCTTGCAAGCCTGCCCCCTAGACCTTCGCCCACAGCCGCGGAGATGGTATCGACAATGCCACTGGTCTTCGTGGGAAGCCTGGCCGCCGCTACCACCATCTTGTCGCAGAGGACGACTGCGTCGGTGTTTGTGTCACCTATATCCACTCCTATCACGTACGTACAACCGGCCCGAGCCAGCAGCAAATATCAGAAATGCGCTGACTACTCCCGGATCTGATTACTCGCGTTTTGGTGGTGAGCATTCGTCTCCCTTCCGCAAACACGGAAACACAAGCGTAAATCGGAATGGCAAGGGAGGAAGGTATGTACGGTATGTATAGAGTTGGACAGAGGGACTAGGGCCTACGTATATACGCGGGTGCGGCTATATATAAGCGTGAATCGCGCGCCAGCCCGCGCGTGTGCGACCGGTTGCGATGTTGGGTCTGCTGGGGAGCGAGGGTCGGGATTGGGAGCTGATCATCTTAGCTCCGGCAGCAGTCGTTGGATTTGTCACAATTCTCGTCTTCTTCTGGGTCTTGGGCAGCAGGAGTCAGAGCAAGGTCTCGCGTGTACACCTTGGTGCTAGCTAATAACTAATGTGTTTTTCTCTGCAGCAGTCAGCTAAGAGAAAGGCGAGGGAAGCCAAAGAACCAGCTAGATGGAAGCAATATCCTGTGGACGAGCGGTATGCCGCAGTGTATAGTCTCGGTTTTACCGAGTAGCTAACAAAAGATGCTCCCTGGATAAGCAACCAAAGCGATACAGGAACTGCAGAGATGATGTACTTACGTAGCGATATCGAGGCCGCGGAGCAGCCGCAAGGGCTCCGGCGTGCAATGAGGGACGTATGAGGCCGTGGCCGAGAGGATAGTTAACCCACGGCGCGCATGCTGTGTGTGTGTCGACGCTTTCTGGCACTATATACAAGCTACGAGGCGGCCTAATAGCGATCTACTAGTGTAGCTAGCCCGTGTCAGACTCCCCGCGAGCTACTAACGTGTATACAGCTAAACGCACACTCTTGGGTATACTATTTAGCAGTACCGCGCACTGCGCGCATGCGCATGGGTACGTCTTTTTTATTATTTTTATTTTTATTTTTATTTTTTTTAACGTCACACGACGTTATATTATATACAGTATGAATGCAGGTATAAATAAGAAGATAGAGAGCAATTTAGAGTGATACAAGGTGTGTTTCCGAGATGATCAAATCGACCGCCATGGGCATTCTGATGGCATGTCCGCATGATGATCTTGCACCCCTGATGGCCTGGATGGAGGAGCGTAAAAGGGAGAAGGCTAGACGACAACGTAGCCAGCGGAGAGTGTGGCTGTAGGTGTGGTCCCACTTGGAGGCGAGCATGGAGGCGAGTCTTTTGTAGAAAGTGTTGGCCTCCCTGGCCAAGCCACCGGTAGCAGAGAGCACCAGAGGCGTGAAGGTAGCGTGTTCAACTTCTCTTATCCGCTGTTCATATGCACGCTTCTTGATTTGTTCGTGCTTTCTGTAGACTGACTGCAGGTTGGTGTGTCTGTTTGACGGGGCATGGGGATTAAATACCCTAACGTCGAAGTAGGTTCTCTCGAAGGTACCACCCCAGACACCATTTGCAGCGATATCAAGGCGGGCACCTTCCTGGGAGTTGGCAGTTGACCCCGTCAATTCTTCACCGTTCACAGGCTGAAGCTCTGGCTCAATGCACACGTCCTTGCACACTTCTGTGAGGAGGGTAGCTGTCAGGTCCCGTATCTCATTGTGCCTGATCGATGGAAAGCCGCCCTTGGCACAGGACAGAGCATGCTCAACTGAAAAAGAGGCACCACAGATACATTTCGAAGGAAGTCTCTCTGGTGTCCAGCCGTACCGTAATGCCAGGGCATCGTGGAAAGCTCCTTTGTGCAGGGCAAAGCCATGCTCTGAAAGTGGCAGGACAGTGAGCCAAGTGGAGGATCCTTTCTCGCTTGCTAGTTTCACCGACCTCTGCAGGTTGTCTGGTAAAAGTTCTAGCACATCGCCGGCGGCTTTTGAACGATTTTCCTTGTTTCTATTTCTAACAATGGCCTTGGATTCCAATTGCTGGGCAATGACTTCATACCCGTAGGCCTCATCTTGTAGTGTGATGTGGTCTTGGAGGGCAGAGGTAACCAGTAAGGATGACTGATGTTCCTGGTCGGCTTGAGTGGAAGGGATTGTTATTCCCAGTCCACCCATTCTTGCTGGCAGGGCAAACATGGCACACTCCAGGTCACTAGGTGGGGGCCTTCCTGTAAGTGTTGGGATGAGTTCGGTACGCAAGATGTCATCGAGCGGCTTTAGTAGGTTGCTGATATTGGGAACTGTGCGACATAGGTAGGTCCACTTGCTTGAGAGACCATGTGTGAGAGCCGAGTAGGCTGCATGTGGTTGAGTCTTTGCTATTGTTGTTAGGTTGCGCACCATGGATAGCCAGGAGTCAACCCTCGACTTCACATAACTCTCCACGTACTCGGCTGAGCCAACTGCTGCACCTAGATATGGTCTGCCATCGGATGTAACATTCACCCCTGTGCCAGCAAAGGTAGAGAGCCCAGTAGTGTGACAGCCTTCCTTTGTTACTACCCACGTCTTGGATGGATTGGGAAAGTAGCCGAAGTCAGGTCCTTCTCTGGTCAAAAGGTCCCACCACACACGCAGGTCTGCTAGCTTTCCTACGGCGGCTACATCGTCTGCATACCAGATCTGCTTGCAGTTGCCCTTCAGTTTTTTGATAAGAGGGATGGTGGCGAGGGCATACATGGGCATGGCTAGTGGGTCCCCTTGTGTCGTACCTTCTTGGGAAAGTAGAGTGTCGCCATCCACGAACAGTTCTGTTGATGCTCTGTATGTGTTAATGAGTATGGGTGCGAGTGGTGGACAGAGCCTTCTGATGTTATGAAGAGCAACCTGACGGTTCAAGGAATTGAATGCGTTGGTGGCGTCAACCAGGAGGACTGCTTCAGTGTCACTGGAGTCAAAGGCGGTTCTCACGGCATGCACTGCTGCTTCGATGCCAGAAATCTGTCCTCCACACATCTGGAGACAGCCCGAGGCTTCCTGGATGTCAGGTTTCATTACTGACAGCACTGCTTTGGCTAAGATCCGCCGCACAGTATTTGCTAGCCGATTTACGTGTACGCATGCGCAAAGGGCCAGCCTTTATGACAAGAGTCCTCCATTATTGGCGGTATTCACCGCAAATGTACGTTAACGCACGCATCGGAGGTTAGTAGAAAGGCCCTTTCCACTAACCTTGCGTTCATGCACAGGTAGTGAGCTTGCCGCCTAGCGATGCTGTCTAGTTTCTATATACAATGAAAAGCACTAAAGTGCAAACCCTCGGCGAACTGCGCATGTGCGGTACCACTAATTGATGGGCTGGGTTTTTTATGCCTTTACTCGTGGTATCCCACTAGTAGCTCGCGGAGAGTCTGGCACGGGCTAGCTACAGTAGTAAATAGCATGCCCTTCGTTGTGACTTGTTGTGACTTGTTGTGCCTTCAAGACACACAGAGCGAACGGACGCGGTCGAGGTAAGCCTGTGCTAATTTAGACGGACAGACAGACAGACTGACAGACACACTTACGGGACAATGAAAAGCACTAAAGTGCAAACCCTCGGCGAACTGCGCATGTGCGGTAACACTAATTGATGGGCTGGGCTTTTTATGCCTTTACTCGTGGTATCCCGCTAGTAGCTCGCGGAGACGGGCTAGCTACAGTAGTAAATAGCATGCGGGAGTCGATACATGCCCTTCGTTGTGACTTGTTGTGCCTTCAAGACACACAGAGCGAACGGACGCGGTCGAGGTAAGCCTGTGCTAATTTACATATTGGCTTGTTCACTTGGTTTTCACGCCATAACTTTAAAACACAGTAGTTTTACGAAAATCGCCTTTTTTAAAATCAGCCCAGTGTAGCACTGAACCCGATCATATCGCTATTTACCTGATTTCGTGCGCGCGGTGGCAGAAAACGTGGTAACAGACAGACTGACTGACTGACAGACAGACACACTTACGGGACAACTACGTAACCCTCGCTGCGCATGCGCGCCGAGGGTTAACTACCGTAACCCTCGCTGCGCATGCGCACCGAGGGTTAATACACCTGCTTGTAGACCTGCCTAGCCTAGTGTCTGTCAGATCTTACGGTATTTGGTTTGTAAGTCTGTCCGCTCTGCTTAATCTCGCATATCCCGCTATGACAAGGACACTTAGATTGTTGAGTATGATGAGGAAAACAAAATAAAACAGGCCGTTTTCCGTCTTACCTAAAAAGTTAGAGCGCGTTTTGTGTACCGCCGCGGCCAAACACCAAAAGTATGACCAGTTTCTTCGGGTGACGGATATCTACATTCTTACAAAATTTCATTAAAGTTGTTTCGTTTTGAGTTATGAGTGTTGAATCCGAAGAAGAAAAACTCCCTATCATGGCCCCATGCATCCATAATGCTACGTACCGTGCCCATCCCAGTCACATGATCTCTGTTTCACACACTCTATCTTCAGACTGGGTGATCTTGGTGAAACAAAGAAGGCAGGCAGTCTCCACGAGTACCTCCTGCAGCTCCATGACCACGGTCGCTGTCCAGTCACCTCGTTCTGGTGGGGGAAAGAACAGGTGGTCAGTATCTGCAGTCCTCAGGCCTTCAAGGATACTGTGAAGTTGACTGATAGGGCAGGTGAGATTAGGAGAAGTGAGGACAGAGTGACCCTGTGTCTGAACGTGGCTAAATCGGTGTCCCTGTGAAACGACACTCTTAATCAACACAAAATTGTTTGCTTATGCAATACACTCTGGAACAGTAAAAGGTCCGTTTCTTTTTCAGATTATATCCTCAAAATAATATAAAAATCAGCCCATTTCCACTAAAAAACAAGGTAGGTTTCAGCAAATGCAGAATTTTGGAAGTCAGGGTTCACAAATTTGGGACTGTGTAATACTATCTAGGGGTGACAAAATTTGTGTACCCTATGTTAGTATTGTAGTAAAAAGTGCCCATTACTTGAAAGGCTCACAAATTTGTCATCCAGCTGCTCAAATATTTAGCATAAATCTGCAGATTGTTTCTATAAATCACAATTGCAAAATGACATGAAAGTGCTGAGTAAATTGAAAATCAGAAAATTGGAAACAGAACTTTTGCTTAAGACACTGTTCATGAATAATTCATAGTTCACCTAAATAATTATTGCCTCACAGTTCAACTACAGATGGCCTTCTCACCACTCCTTGGTGTGAACAGTATCCAGTATGCCAAGGGAGAGGACTGGGAAAGCCGTAGGAAATGTTACTACCCTGCATTCAAAGGAGAATCTCTCGAGTCTTACTTTCCTCATTTTGTCATCATTGCGAGGTAGCTATAGCTATTGTCAGAGGAGAGTAAGAGCAAGAAGAGGGTGTGTAGTTAGAAAGGGAGAAATGGTATATAATGCCTGACCAGTTATTTATCATGCTCTCTAGGAGGTGGAGAAGAAATGGTCTTCTCTGGAGTCAGGAGAGAAAGTTCCTCTACTGAAAACTGCCTTTTCTATTACTGTTAGAGGTATAATGAAAAGCATTTTGGATGAATCATTTGACGACCAGTTACTGGATAAAGTGATTGCTGCCGACCTAAGTGCATTGGATGAGTTAGCAGTAAGTAGCTAACTGTGAGTTACTCACCAACTCATGATATTTCTCCTCTCACTTTTACTACAGACACGAATGAAAGAGGGTAAGGATCCACCAAAAGGAAGTGAAAGAGATGTTGAGTTTCAAAAGAACACTGCGTACCTCAGGGACACTGTGAAGGGAGCCATTCGGCGTCGCCGTGAGGGACTGGGTGGAGAATATGTCCCCTTTATTGACAACCTCCTGCAATCTGGAGTCCCTGATGACCAGGTCTGAGTGGCTACACCCAGTGGTCTATAATAGAACCAATCCGGATATAGGGATGGCTTGAAGCACCAAAAAGGAAGAAACAAGGGATCATTACACAGCAAGGACACAGAATGCTACATGACACCATTCAGTATCCTTATTTGATGTTATTTGCCTAGGAACATGTCATGTATAACTTTCTGTGTCTTTGCCTGTGCCATAAAGTGTCTACCGACACTCTAAATAATACTGAGTTATAAGTGCTGGCATGAATAAGTTTCTTCATCGGGTTTTAGCTATACCTTGTTGTGCAACAAGTGAAGTATACACTGTGACTATATACTACAGGCTGTGAGTGATGCCCTTGCTTTCATGATTGGAGGGTTTCACACAAATGGAAACTTTGTAGTCTGGCTGCTGTGGTACCTGGCCACCCATCCAGAGGTACAAGAGCAGTTGAGGGAGGAGTTAGAGAGGGAGACAGGGGGAGAGAGGGATGATCGCCTCAGGAAATATGCCTCTGCTGTCTCCACCACACACAGAACGTGAGGATAGCTCATTGTCATCCTTTGATTATTATGTAGTTATCCATGTATTGGGTATTTAAGCTGCAGCTTATCTCAGCTGCTGAACAAGGATAAGAAATGAATTGTAAAGGAAGAGAGGGATGTGTATATACCAATTTTCATCTCCATGCATGCTAGCTACCATTAAGAATGACGAAAGTTTTAGAAAATGTATTGCCTAACAGAGGCTTTTGTTGTTGTTTTGTAATGAGATAATGTAATGCTCACGTGTACCAAGTTTCATCTCCTTGCATGCTATTGTTAGCAAGTTTGAAACAATGAGGCTTGGAGCCGTTCGGAGCGCAGGGAGAAAACTACTAGCTACAAGGTCCGAGGCTTCCTAAATGGTGTTGTTTCCATTAATTGTCATATAACTAAGAGTGCGGCATGCACAAAACATCCAATGTGTATTGGGGGTAAAGGCTATCCAATAGTTAGCATTCCTCGGACCATAGTTCTATTTAGTGTTCCTGTGACCAGAGAGGGTGTTCTTTCTTCAGCTATTTCCGTCAGGTTATGGACGAGACTCTGCGGCTGAGCACTCCAGCTGCGTGGGCCATCAGAGAGTCACCCGATGACATCAATGTTGATGGTTACCTAATTCCAAGGGGAACCCCCATCATTCAGGCCCTGGGAGTGAGTCTTCACAACACCACCTCTTGGAAGGAGGGAGAACTGGATAGGTGAGAGTGGTGGGGGCAGTAGAAAGTGCCTGTTCAAAAAGACATGAAACTACACAGTACGGTCTTTAAGGCAATCGATTCAGAGTGCAGTATATACAACCTGCTAGAGTGTTATTAACTTTGAGCGTTGTATTAAGAAGGTGAATAGGATGCGATACAAGCTGTTAGGTCTTGTCTCGCCTTCTGCAGGTTCAATCCGGACAGATTCGCAGCCTACACAGACCACAGCAGGAGAGGTTTGGAGTTCTGTCCATTCGGGACTCCCAGTCGCCGCAAGTGTCCTGGTTGCATCTTCTCCTACTACGAGACCACTGTTGTCCTCAGTATTCTCCTGTTCCGGTTCCAACTTGTCCCTGTTCCAGGACAGGTTGTAAAACGTGATTATGGACTGGCGACTACCCCAACAAAGGAGTTGTATTTTTTCGTCAAGGAACGATAACATGTTTTCTGCGATGAATTGGTTTTGCCTACTTAACATCAATGTTGTAGCTAGTTAGTCTTTCTACATTGCATGCAGTTTGTTAACCTTGCATTGTCATGCAGAGTTTATGGCTTAGAGATACAGTTTAAGGTCAATTGTATCAATTACGCATCCGTGTGCTCATACTTGCATGTCTCATGCCAGATTAAGTATAGTCATGTTGCATAAAATTACAATGTGTTCAATAGTGATAAGCATTCGGATTGGCGGTTTAGTGCTTGATAGCTAGAGCGAATCATGAAAGTGCACACCTTATAGCCTGTTCAATTCCAACGACAAATGGCTCCTGACCTCAAAGTCTTAGTTTCTCCAGATTGTGTTCATGATAGCCATTGAGTAGACTAAAGCAGACCCTTCACTTCTGTTAAGAAGGAAACTATGACCATCATTCACCATCTGCTCAGAATAATGTAGTAACAGTGCTCAGACTCCTTTAGCATGGTCAGCTACTCTACACTCTCCCTTGTGACTTGTGACCCTTTGGAACATCTGCAGGCAGGATCAAGTCTGAGATAACCTAAACAGTGTCTTGTCGAAAGTTTCCAGCAACATTCCTTGCAGTGATCAATGAAAAGCACTGAAGTGCAAACCCTCGGCGAACTGCGCATGCGCCGTATATTAGTATGCGGTCTGATCTCAGAGAGTCTGACAAGGGCTAGCTACAGTAGTAGATTAGCATGCGAGAGTCGATACACGCCCTTCGTTGTGACTTCTTGTGCCTTCAAAATACACAGAGCAAGAAGACCCGGTCCTGTGCTAAATATAAGCGCATGCGCATTTTCCGCAGCGATAAAAATGGCCGACTACGCATTAGCCGTACAACGGTGGAATGTGAGCTGTCGCTGTGGATGAGAGCAGTAAACTGGTTCTAGCCTGCTTGCCTGACGGTTGTGTTCACTCGTACAGTTCGACAGGTTTTGGTGCTTTTTGCAGCTCAACAGCCCTGTGAAATTGGGCACGAAATTTATCACTTTGGACCAGCTGTGTAGCTTTACGCGTGCATGTGCATGTCATGTGACTTTCACGAGAATATTGCATCATTACGCACCTGAATAACTTGACTATAGCTGGAGTGTGCATTGAACGAATAGGGTGGCCTAAAATGTCTGTACTTTTAGCAAGCAAGTGGGGAGGAGGACAGGCCAACCAACTATCCTGAATACCTTGACTATAGCTGGAGTGTGCAGTGAAAAAATAGGGTGGCCTAAATGTATTCTGACCTTCATTGCCCGTTCGGTAGGTGGTATCCTTTGTGAGACGAAAGAACATTCGAGAAGTAAGATGGAGAGTAACAGACACACAGACAGACAGACAAACCCAACTACTGTAACCCTCGCTGCGCATGCGCGCCGAGGGTTAATGAGGAAATTGATGCTCCTGATGCCTTCTTTCTGGATGACCCTGACCTCACATACCTCATATAGAGAAGTCCTAAAGCTCAGGGATGATGCTATTAAACACACCTTTAATATGATGGTGCTATCAAGTTATTCAATGTAACGTATGGGTTTGACTTCTTCCTCTCGCCTCCCAATGAGCAGAATCAATACTTCTTTGAGAATGCACGGCTAAGACCATTCCGGTTTGCTGATATCGACTATCTAGTGACTCTCAACAACTGGATTCAAACTGGCAGAACTCGCTCGACGTGCTACCAAATACACGATGGAAGGTTCACTGTCACATTTTCAGCCGACCAAATCCTCCGTGGGAGCTATCATGGTGAACTAGCTGGTAAAATAGAGTTTGTTAACTATGGATGAGTTTTATGTCGTGGATGTGTGTCACTGGTAATTCAGTACTCTCCTGTTTGCCAGGAACCTACAGATGGAACTTTTGTTCAGTCAGGTGCGAGCTCTATAACCCAGTTCTTAGTTATGGAAAATCAGAAGGTATCTTTACGGTTTGAGCCATGGCCAGCCCCCAGTAACACCGGCACAGCCAAGCAAGCATGAGAATCCCACACAGTCTGGATAGAGAATAGCTATTGTTTTAGCTATAGAATACTAAGTAGCAACTTCGATTGTATTTGGTATGCTTTGTAGCTGGTCAGAGTGACACGTGGACAGATGGTGCTTACTACAAGAAGCGAAGTCTTTCAACCCTGGATGCACTTCATTAGTATCTTAGCTAGCTATACTAAGTTCAAGGTTCATCATCTAAACCTACGCAACAACCTCAGAGACAAACAAAGCCCTTGAAACACAATCACAGTGCCAAGTACCAGGAATACACAGCTGTTGTGGTCTCTAATAAAATGCCAATCGCTCACTTTCTCTACTATGATGCCCAGAAGATCATGTATAAAAGGAGGCAGACACAAACCTACTGGCAAAGAGGCAAGTGGACATAACTTACACTGCAAAACCCGTGGTGTTTTCGTTCACCTTAGGCTACTGGTGTTCATCATTATTTCTGTGACACTGAGGAAAATGACTTTCAACATGATGTATGTGTTTGCTCTTGTTATGTTGAGCACAGATGCTGCTATGTCGGCTCAAAGCCCATTGGAAACCTGCGGCCAATTCCCTGCATCATTTGTTGCAGTTATTGACCAAAATATCGATTCCCCATTTGCTATTGTCGAAGCTGATCCCGATCTGATATTTTTCAAAGACGTTCTGAAGTTGAGAGAGAATGCTATCCAGCACACTTTTGACGATGCCATTACATTTTTCAAGGAGTCTTACGGTCTTGATTTCTCCTCTTCGTCTCCTAATGAGCAGAATCAGTATTTTTACCAAAATTCTACGCTCGATCCTTTTAAATTTTTGGACGATATTGAGTATCTGGTGACTCTCAACAACTGGATTCAGACTGGCAGTACTCGCTCGACCTGTTATCGAATTGATGACGGAGGAATACAGGTTAGTTTCTCTGGCGAACAGACTCTATATGGCACTTATGGTGGAAGTGAGGGCAAAACGGTTGGACCAGGCAATATTTTGGTGTACGGATTCTACAGCATTCGGGTGTGCCAACAGAGCCCGGTCATAATCCAATACCGATCTGGCTCTCCAGTCCGCCAAGAGCCTGTTGATGGTGCATCCCTCATCAACTGCGACCTCTACAGTCGAGTTCTCGGCAATGGAAAAGCTCAAGGTTTATTCACCATCACACCTTCCGTTGACGATCCTGGGAAATACCGTTTTGTCACCCGAAACGTCTTTACATTTGAGCAGAACTAGTAATATTATGCTATCATGAACATTGAATTTCAGTACGGCATTGTTATGGTTATAATTATTAAGCTTCCGTTGCGGTGTTAAATAATCTTTTTGTTAGCATGCTTTTTGTCGCCATGCGCAGAAACATAACATGTACACTACCTTGTGAATACATCTATGACATTACCAAAGGTACTGCATTCAAAAGTAGGGCGTGAAAAGCTGTTGTCTACTTTCACATAATTATAATTATCGTAGGCATTTGAGATTGCCACCACACCTCTTAGGATCCTCCTAGCCACAAAGGACTCAATTGCCTGAGCTAATCGGTACTGTTCACGAATGGCTAGCTAATGACTCAGTCTCACAGTAGAAAAACACCATACTCGGAACAGAGACAAGTTGTCTCGCACTCTGTAGCTAAGCAGTGAGAAAGTGTTTCCGTGGTATTGATGAGATTGCATCACATGCACATTTCTTCCCACTTGGCTGAGGTCACATGCAGCACTAAAGTGTTTAGAACACATTGCGTTATGCGGTTATCCTCGCGTAGTAATAGCATTTTTGTTGTCATGAGCACAGATGGTGGACGCTCAAAGCATCACGTCAGGAATGATTACTGGTAGTGCTTCTGTGTTCTGTGGTTTCCATTGAACCACAGAGTCATAATGGATACTCCAAATATAGGTCACCTCTCTATAAAGGTACACATAATTATTGATGTAGTGCTAGTACTTTCACTTCAACATTGTGATCAGTTGAAACTGGCAGTACTTGGTCAGCCTACAACAAAATTCGCTGAAGAGACCCTAAAGCAGCTATGGTGGAAGTTACAGTAAACAGAGCAATGCAAGTGCTATTGAATGGCACTGAGGTGTGTCAACAGGGTTTATAAAATGCATCATCCACTTTGATTTTTATAGGAAGTAGAAAGATATATAGTGGAAGGATGCCTAGACACCTGGCCATTTTACACAACCAAACTAACTCTGATGTAGAAACCATAATCTCAGTGGTTATGCCCACAGTAAGGCAATTAATGTAACAGACAAATAGTCAGAAGCCAGGGTAGATAATGTGCTGAGGAAGAAAAGTAAGTTTTGCCAATATTGATGACAGAAGAGAGTGTAACCGTAGTAAGAAGCCTCTGAGCTAAGCAATGAGAACAGATGGTAACCACTGCTAGGCACAAGGGCCGAGGCTCATCGCACTGTGCCAGGAATCACTGCTGTTTGTCATCTGATCCCCATTATATACATGCACAACATAAACCTTTTGCACCCTTGATGGGGGATACTGGTGAGGCACTACTCTTCCTCTTCACTGCTGAGAGAAGGATCTTCCTTTATCTGGAAGACACTCACTAGACACTTTTCATACAGGACACACTGTGCTCTCCCACTCGGCCAGCTTATGCCATCTATAGAGTATTTCCACAGTGCAAGAAGCTCTGGCAATAGTTAGCTAGCTAGCTAGCTATACTGTGAGAGAGCTGCTGTTAGGTGGGACTATACAATTCTAGTGCTAACACTTAACATGAATGTCATCATACTTCACACTGTTGGAAGGACCACGACTGCTGTAGTATTGACATCACTAGTTAGGGCAAAGAGAAAACAAAAAACCCCAAATTCCAACTATACTACACTATAGGGAAGAGATAAATTTTAGGGATGAGGTCATGGAAGTAACCCTAAGCTCTCTGTTGAGTGTGGAAATGGATATAATGATGCCTACAAACATGTTGATCAATATTTCCAACATTATTTCTCGTGAATGGGATGAATTACAGACCACACAATTGATGATG